ACTTCGTTTTGATGTAATCCATGAGTAATTTCATGAATGATTGGACTGCCACTATGTCATAGTTCAACGAATCTGAAATGACTTGAAATCTCAAATGTTCTAAAGCCCCATCGTCCACAGGTATGCCACTGACAGATGGATTGAGGCCTGGTCGCGAGTCCCGTGCTTACCCTCAATCACGAAAGCGAAATTCTCGCTAAAGTCACTTACGACCAGCGCTACCTTTTCCTTCGATGATCCCTTCGAGTTCTCGAGAAATTTCGATTGCTCCTTAGTAAAGAAATCATACCGCTGCAAATGTGACAACCACTCCGTCAGGTCGTCACAAAAGTCGACCGTTTCCTTTTGACGGACCTCTAACTCGCATCGGTCCCTCGTCAACCGCTGCTTAAAATGGACAGTGTCGATATCTTCTTATCTCTTCACGCATTATCTCCTCTTTTATATTCTCAATCTCGGAACATTGATCACATTCACCTATAAAAAAATTCCGCTTTTGAGCCGCCAAGATTCTGCAGAATCAACCTACTGCATTTCAAGTGTTTTATTGAGCACTACTTCTTGTTCCCTTTTCTTTTCTTTTCCATTAACATCGGAAAACGTTTTACCTCGATTCAACTAAAATGGATTTGCATTTGGAATGAGATATATCTTTGAGTTCATGCCGTTCCAACAAAGCTCCATCGTGTGGAAGTCGAGGAATCCGCTGGAATCCAGAAGATACGCTCGATACAGACCCCGTTCCTTCACTCACGTCATGCAGGAACTGCGAAAGGGTTCAAAGTGGGGGGGGGGGACGGATTTGGAAAGGCGAAGAAATAAAAATATTACAAGATTGTTTTCGGTCGAGCAGGATTGCACGAGAAAGTTTCTTCCATAAAATATCGATTGGGGAAGTTGATGTGAAAGGGCGCTCCTCCACTAACAACGGCGATTCCCAGCCTTGAAAGTGAAAAAATGGGTGGGTGGGGGTGGGTGGGGGTGGGGGGGGGGGGGAGTCGAATTTGCCTGGAAGGGTGATTGGCGATTGTTGGTGTTGCTTCTGCGCGATCATGGGGTCTCATTGAGGGAAAATTTGGCATCAGTTGCACAACGTGGAAGGACAGATTTCATTTAAAATTTTTTTTAGGTGATATGTAAATGAATCGCGAATCAGTCGCGAGAGATGAGGGAACTCGAAGATTTTGTTTAAAGAGTTTGTTTTGAAGAGTTTGTTTCAATATTTGGACTTACTTTTACGAATAAGCGTAAGGTTTATAAGTTTCATGGGGTTATAAACATAAGTAAGCTTCGTAGGTCACCAGAAGAAAAACGAGAAATCCCTTCAGAGCTAAAATAAAAATCGAGCCGTTTCCGTTGAGGAAGAATATCCAGCAAGGGTATCGGCCGAAACCATGACGTCAAATGGAAACGGAAACCGCAGACCCCTGGATGTGGAATCTTTCCCCCTTCCCCCATGGACACGAGAAGGGGAAATGAAGCTAGATACTGAGCTAGTGGACTCCAGGCAAAGTTCCTCTCCGCACCGATCGGATATATAAGATTCCTCCAGGCGAGTTCCTACTCACATTCTGGTTCTCCTCAGTACGGAAATACTAATTTCGAGCTGTCTTCATATTCACCCTCTAATATTCCCGTCTTTTTTTTATTCTTCCATTCTGAATTATTTCCACATACGCAAAACAAATTCGGTTCCCTCAATTTCCCATCAAAATAAGTTTCAAATAGAAGGGAGAATATTAGGTTGTCACTTTTCATCGTATATAATTATTGTAATTAAGATACCTGTACAAGCGGATGACTTTCCAATTACTCAAAGTCGAAGCTGTATTTCCATTGATTGCGGATTATGTGTTAGAGGAGGAGAAAATTTTATCTTTCAGAGGAAAAATGCAATATTTGGTTTCAAAGAGAATCTATGTTCTAACAGAATGAATCTTACTAAATTCCTCTTGAAAATAAGAAATTCATTTTGAGGAGGAATTTCTCATGAAAACGACAAAGCTATCAAATCAAGTTTGAATACTATGTTGAGTTCTGATTCGTGCATCATTCCCATGCACCAACAAAGTATGGAGGCATGATGACAACTTACGCTTTTTCTATAGTGTTTTTTTTTTTTGGAAGTGCCTTTGATGCCTTTGATGGCATGCACCCAAAATGCACAGTTGTTTGATAGGCCTGGTGGAATCACATGGGGAAAAACTCCACAAACACTTCAAGATTTGCTTTTGCTAACTAAGCAATAAAGGAAATATTACGCCTTCAGATGCTCATTTGAAAGCTTCAAATCCAACATATTGCTTGTTTTGCTTTTCACTGTGTACGTACTTTGATGAGTGTGCTCAGAAGAAAGGCTTGCATATATCCAGCTCGAAACCCACCTTGTTAGCTGGGAAGGAATTGTATTCTTCACTTATTCTTCATTGGCATTTCTTGACCCTGCTTACAATTTTTATACAACTTGGCTAACGATTATCTTTCAACAGTTCATTTTTATCATTAAACATTGCTTCCAGGGAAAAATGTAGGAGAAACGGAATGCATCGATTTGTGAGCAGTTGTTGATATTGTATCGAGTGTTTTTTTCTTATTTCTTATTATCCTTTCAGAGGTTTGCAGTCAGGAAGATTACTCATGACTTGAGCTACAGCACTTGATATCCAACAGAAAGATGTGGTGGCATAGACGTCACCATAGGGGGAATTATTCCTTGCCTCTTCAGTACTTGGCCTGGAAGATTCTTTTTGATGCCGTCAAAAGTGAGTCAGAGCCATTGAAGCTTAGTTTCTTCATGAAAAACAGGTTGTGCTGGTGAGAGACAACTGAACTATTTCTTGCTTTGCAATGTGCTACCTAATTTGGTGAAATGATCTTCGATGCTTCAGTCTTTGGAAGATTACACACTTCAGAATCAATTTCAACATGCAGTTCATAACCTGTTTCCCTAATTCATGGGTTCGTGCTAATTCGTCAATTGTGACAATTATTTTGGAGGGTCTCAAGAGCAGCCTGAGCAGTTTTCCCTATTGCTGAAAGTCATTGGCGATGTTGTCACTTATCAGCTGATGAATACTTTACGTTTACGGGGAATATGATCAGAAGGGCAGTGAACATAGAGATCGAAAAGAAGCGGCCTTCCAGAACACCCGCAGTTGAGAAGCGAATCTTGGGAAAATAATGCTATTACCCTGAATGATATCTCAGTGAGATAAGATGCTATCCATCCCATCAGCTGCAGGGGAATTTCAAAGTGAGAAAAGAGTGCATCGGTGCATTCCAGATCATTTTAACCCTTTTAGTGCAATGCAGCCGATTCCTAGGCTAAAAACAACTATATATATCGTTCCCCCGGCAGTAAAAGGGTTAAGAGATTTAGTGACGACGAAAAAGAGAGGGAGAAAGTCCTTTTTACTATTGATATCCTGCAGTACGTCGTGGCGTATGCAAACGAGCTGATCTGTGGTGTATAAATGTCGAAAACCTGACTAAAAGGATAAAAGAAGGCTATCAAACTCTAACATTCATTAAGGTGAGAGGCAAAGATCCTTTCGAAAGGAGAATTGATTCAAGTGGCTTTGTTGTGTTAACTGATGTTTCAGAAGCCCTACAGAATTTCAATCATTGGTGTATTTTCTATTATCCACATATATGCAAGGTGTCAACAATTTATCTGTAGAATTTGCAAGTCGTATAACGTGGAAACGAGTGAGCATAGAAAGGTGAAACAGAACCTAAAATATACAGAAACGCTTCAAGTTTTGTGCTGGGGAAATTGGATCCCGTCGTAAGCAACGCACAATCCACAATGAGGAAGATAAAGGAAGGACAGGTAATTGATGGATGCTACGAGTGGTAGGTGGGAAATCTGTCTCATTAAGCTTCGTTCATGAGTCTGGTGATGAAGGGGATGGTGGATCGGTAGAAATGTTGCGTGCGGAATCTAAACTCTTCAAGAAGGGATGAGAGGTCACGTCGTTCTTCCATAGGGTATTGTTTCCTAAGGGAGGGAAGAGTGTGATGTTGAAGAGGGTTGGTGAAAAGGGATTTTTCCCTACCTTAAGGTAAGACCTTGACGCCTTTGGTGCTGGAAGGCAGATCGAGGATATTGAGAGCCTCTTCATAGTCGGTATCATTTGTGCTCAAAGTAATGCGAAGAGTACGCTTTTGTACCCTTTGAATATCAATTGCCTGTGCTTATGTTAAGAGACTCTGCCACACAGGGCAAGCATATTCCATCAGGTCGGGGGGGGGGGGTGGGTCGTAGGTATTCAAAAACTTGGGTAGGTATTTTACTGGGATTGGATGACTTCCACGAGCTTTCCACGAGTCAAGTTCTTGCCTCGACTTGAGCGATGCGTTGAAAATGTCGGTCAAGGGGATTGCGAGTTCAGGGGCAAATTTGTTGTTGGTTTTGTTATTTTCTTTTTGAGTTGAATATGTCAACATTAACTTTTCATTACTGTTCAAATGCATCGGAATCAATAAAACCAAGATTTTGCTTTGAGATAGACGTGTTTGTGTCTCTGTTTTCCCACGATATATGAGGGGTTATCATAAAGTCATCACCCTATTTCGATTAGTCGTAACTTTTCCAAGGACAGTCTGATGCAACTGATACCTGACAGTCTTCGAGTTTTTATGTTATTCCGCAAGATGGCGCTGCATCCCGATAGGGAGTGCTGTATTCCAACGGAGCGCCTCCCCCCATCTGCATCCCATGCCATTTTTCATGTATGGAAATAGAAACATTGTGGCCCACAGGCCTCTGTCAAATATCAGTTGCACCCGAGAGTCCTTTCATGAAATATGGTGAAATCTGGACTTTTAGCCACCCGACTTTGTTTGGTCATAACTGTTTAAGAAATTTTCAGACGCAGCAGGTGTTTGACATAGATGTTCATTGATCTGTAACGTATGCCGGGTGAGGCAAAAAAAGGGGCACCAATTGGATTTCCACTCTCGACAAGCCATTAGCATTATCTTCTCCTTACTTGTGAATGAGGTAAGATCGAACCCAAAACCACTTCCAAGCTTCAGCAGTGCGACACTGGAATCATCAGAGCCCTCAATGCTCACTACAGGCAGCATTTAAACCAGCACCTGCTGGATGACCTCAGGAATACTGCAGAACCAAAAAAAATAATATTCTCCTAGCCATTAAGCTGCTCGTGGAGGCTTGGCCTGATGACTTCATCTCTAACCATCCGCAACTGCTTCCTCCAATGCAAGATCAGGAGTGAAGGTAATGGGGCTGGGGAGGGAGAGGCAGAAGCTGAGCTGGAGCAATGTGTCATTGAGATTGAGGAGAAAATTCTAGCTCTCTGTTACAAGGAGACCATGGCTCTGGATTTCATCCTTAACCTTTTCCACTCGAATTTTTTTCATGTATTTTCTCGGGTAGCTCGTATTTTTTACCACATAAAACGAAAAAATGAAAATGAAAATGAAAAAAGTTGTCAGTTGTAGGAGCCTAGAGGAAGAGTAAAGACCACCGGGCGAGGAATTGGTGAGGGGAGTGTTGGGTGGTGAGGTATGTCGGGTGGCGGGGAGGTAAGTTCGTGTGACGGAGAGATGAGTATCGGGTGGTGGCTGTTCTTCCGGCATTTCTAAATCGAACGCCTTCTGGCGATGCAACCTAAGTTGTTAATAAATGTGATGGATGGATGGAATGAAGTAACCTTTCCTGTCAACTCGAGATATTATACAAAATTCCTAATGAACATAATTTACTTTCAAGTATAATTTACTGCCAATTCAACTAATTAAAACGACAAGCCAATGACTAATTATGTTAGCAGACGCTGCGTGGTGCGTGTGCTAAGAAAATATTTTATACCAATAGCCAAGTCATTATACTACATGGCAGATAAGTTTGGTGCAGCAAGGTGACCCACCCGAGTGAATGAAGAGGCTTTTAATCTGTGGTATAGTATACTGCACCAAACGAGTGCAAGAGTCAAAGTACCAATGGGCGAGTATACTCGCCCATTCGAGTGGAAAAGGTTAATCCTCCCCAGGAGCGGGAGGTTATAACAGTGCCCTCGTCGTTGCGAGTAAATCGTTCCGGCGATGCAGGGACGGTGACAAGGATCGAACGATTCGAGGGATCTGCTAAAGGTGTTTATAAATTACATCCAAGAAACACGATCGAAATGAGTTGATGACTGCCGCCACTCAAGGCCGAGGTCGTCGGCGTTCAATTGGATAATATATGCCCGCGTGAATATGGGCCATATGGCATTGCAGCCTGGCTGCGGTGAGTCCCCTGCTTTACTCGGATGTGGACCGCGGGGCGGGTATGGGAGGCTGAGAGGAACTGATCGTCTCGTGCAGTGAGTTCGTGTGCATGCGCAGGGAATAGATACATAGAATTAATGAATACTCCAGTAGGGAAATACGGGAAAGATTATGGTAATTGCCAGGCTAGCTCAGACGGTAGGGGATGAGACTCTTTACCACACGGTCGTGGTTTCGAGCCGAACGTGTTATTCAGTCGTAACCTATATTAACCGTTTATTGTCTACTCGATCGTGCTTTCCCTCGCTCACGACATAATAATGGAATAACCAGTCTGGAAACAGACATCAAGAAAGGAAAAGTGAGGGTCAACGAAGAAGAGGAATCGTGTCTCACGTTTTTCCTATGAAAACGCGTCCCCCACACTCTGTTCCTTTCTTTCTTCTTGGATCGAGCTTTCTCTTTTGTGGGAAGGAGATTCATGACCAAGAGGGGAAGGATTGCCCATTGTCCCCCTGAAGGGGCTCGTGAGGGCTCCATTTTTCCTCATTTTTCGAACCATAATGAAAGGATGCTTATCTCGCTCCCTTTATCTATGCGTCCAAATTCCAAAGCTCATTCGTATCTCCAGATCTCTTCTCATCATGAACTTTTTTATGCTTCCCAGGTGCCAGTGGCCTCCAGTGCGGATTCCCAGGCCGACCTGCCAACGGCGGGACCGTCAACGATGCCACCTTTTACTTTTACCGGGACCTGGCCACGTACCAGTGCGCAGACGGGTTCGTTCTCTTCGGGCCGAGTCAGCGGATGTGCATGAAGAATGGGACGTGGAGCGGGAGGCTGCCCACGTGCGGTCTGTGGCTTTTTCCGTATTTTCGCTATTTTGGGGGCGATTTGAAAGTAAATGTTTGAAGGATGGCGTCACGAAGGTCGGAGAAAAAAAGGTACCATTGTGACCCACGAAGGAAAAGGATAAGCCTCGTTTTCTTTCTCGGTGTGGTGGTATCTTTGTGCTTCCCTTAAAGAGCCTCGGTGCGTGGATGAATGGTACGATCCTGCTTTTCACTGTCGTGGCTTTTGCTTTCGCCCTGCCTTTTGTGTGCAGAGATTACTGGACATACAGGGTGTTCGTATTTAAATGCAACATATGGAATATTTTCCCGCCTGTTTCTGGAGCTCACCCAGTGCCACAAGGTCCACCGGGTTGCATACAAATAAGGCTTACTTTTTTCCCAATTTCTAGGAAAAGAACGTAGAAATGTTTCCATCGCTCGCACTGCCTCTAGATGCATCCTTCCCCTCACTTTACTCCTTCTTTTCGATTCCACTCCTGCCTTCCAGATTTAGCTAAGTCCAACTCCTGACGCTACTAGGCAAGCATTCCCCCATATATCTCACGATTCACGAACTATTGGGAATTTTTACTGAAAATGTTGCTTGTTTGGTGCTTTGTTCATGAGACTGCTTGGTATTGTGAGGGAATTTGCTTGAACTAGGTGACTCGTGGGAGTGGTACCGTGTGATAGAGAGAAGCAGAGAAGAAAACGGGTTGTCAATGTCAATGATAATGACATAAGGAAAGATTAACAAATGATAACAGAAAGAGGCTAGAATCTCTGGAAGTGCACACTACAACAGTTGCTGGGAGTGCCTTCTATCTATGACAATGCAGTGAAAGTGTGAAATTTACATTCAAGGCCTGTTAAATGACCCAGAACACGTAGAAGCTGTGGCTGCCACTGTATTCACTGCAAAAGGCCCTATAGCTATTGCCTCTATTTATAATCCACCATTGGAGAATGGTGGAGTTTGAAAATATTCTATGAATCTTTCAGTCTAACAGTACAAAAATTCTCATGAATGGAGATTTCAATTGTCACAATATTCAATGGGGGCCATCAGTGGCAACACGAGAGGAGATGGAACTTCCATCCTGGATTGTAAAGTTAAATCTTCTGATACTGATTGATGGCTCTCCAACCAGATTTCATTGCCACGCAGTTTTAACATTTGCAATAGATCTGTCCCTCATTTCAAGTAATATTAACTTTTCTGAGCTTGAGTGGAAAGTAGAGGAGCAAAGAGGTAGTGATCACTTCCCAATTTTAATTCAATGGAGTACTGCGAGAATAGATGCACCTGTAGGGGTCAAACGTTGGATCTTCATTAAGGCCAACTGGAAACAAATTTGAGGAATCACTGACTCCCTTGCTATCCACTTCAATACAATCCTTATCTTTGGAGGAGGCAGTTAATAACATACAAGAGACTATCATATCTGCAGCAGAAAGAGCAATATCCATTATATCAGGGGAGGGTCAGTTTCTCAGGAGGTCCAATTCTTGGTGGACAGCCTGTGAAAAGGTAGTTAAAGACAGTAGAACTGCATTGAATAGGGCAAGAAAAACTAGAAATCCCACAGACCTTCAGGAATATTCTAGGCTTAATGCCATTTGCTGTAGACCGATAAACCCTGTCAAGAGAACAGCATGGATATATTATTGCTAAAACAAATGAGACAAACACCGATTAATCAAGTTTGTTTATTTTAAATTTATTTCAAAGCAGTAAATGGATCATCATGAAATTCAGCACCCATTCTATTGAAAGATGAGGAGTGGATGATAAACCACTTAGAAGGAAATTTTTTGTGGAGGTTTTCCAAATGCGTAGCAGTATATCGAACCATAACAATGAGGTTAGGAAAAGGATTCAGGAGACTTCTGCACTCTATTTGTCTGAACCTCACAACAATCTCTACAAACACTCCTCATCAACTGTCAGTACCATTTACATTAATGGGACTTAATGATGCCATTCAATGTCTTAAACCAATAGCTCCAGGTGAGGATCGTATACACAATATATTGATTCAACATCTCTCACACGAAACCAAGGTTATTCTCCTTGAACTTTTTAATAGATGTTGGAAAGAAGGTACGTTTCCAACTCAATGGGAGAAAGCTACTGTGATTGCAATTTTAAAACCCGGAAAAATCAAACAAGATCCTAATAGCTATAGACCCATATAATTTCTTCATTGTCTTGGAAAGTTGATGGAGAGAATGGTTGAAACTCGGTTACGCTGATGGATTGAGAAACGACAGCTCTTATCTCCTTTTCAAAGTAGATTTCAGAAAAAAAAACATTAAACAATGGATAATGTGATTAGGTTAGAGACTGCTGTAAAAATTGGATTTGGTAGAATGGGTTTGACAGTATGAATTTTTTCGTATATTGAAAGAGCTGATGAACTTGTATGGCATGAGGGTTTATCATACAAACTCCAGACACAGTTTAATATTGTTGGAACTCCACTAAAGTGGGTCGATTCAGTTCCTCAAAATCGTCAAATCCAGATCAGGATTGGAAAAGGCCTCTCAGATTGTAAACAAACTGAATTAGGAGTTCCACAAGGATCTATTTTAAGCCCAATTTTATTTCTAGCAATGGTTAATGACCTATTGATGTTTCCAAAAACTTATCCAGATATTGAAATAGGCATGTATGCAGCTAACATAACCTGCTTGGTCGCTAGATCCTGCATACATCTCTCATATAAAGGTTTTATAGGGAGTTAGATGGAGTATGGTGCGCCCGTACTGCAACTGCTCTGGTTGACAGAGATCTTAATCATTATATCCGACTTTGGAAGAAATCTCCTTTTACTATAAAATGCCAAGATATACTTCATAGCTATAGAATCTCTGAACATATTGCACCAAAGATGTTCAGTGAGGAACTCCCTCCATGGACGGTATGGTCTTTTGAGGTGTTCCTAAACCTCGGTCCAGAGATCTATGAATATTCACTACAACAAGTAGCACTAGAGAAAATGGCTAGATATGAAAATGTAATGCACATCTTTATTGATGGTTCCTTACAACAAGATGGTAGAGGTGGTTTTGGGTATATGGATTCCTTCTATCCATCTTGAGAGGAGTGTGAGTGTTAGGATAGACTATAGCATTTTCATTATAGAGTTGCTAGCAATTATTGATGCCCTCTATATCTTTAAGGATAGAAACATCAATCAAGATGCAGTGATTTTTAGCGACTCACAATCAGTTCTCACCAGCATAGCATCACGCTCTGTGACTGGTTCATATGGATTTCTTCTAGCCCAACCTTTATTTCTGCATTAATAAATTACCTTGTATTATAAGTTTCCAATGGATTTCTGGACACAAGGGCATTCATGGCAATGAGAAAGCAGATCAAATGGCAAATATAGCTATGGAATTACCCGTCCCAATTGAGCCATGTGTATGGTCTGAAGAAAATTTTACAGATAAAAACCATTTTACCAGGAATTGGAAATTGCTATGGAACCCCTCCACTACAGGTCGGCATCTATATCAACTAAAGCCAACCCCCAGGACAATGGAACATTAATAATTCAGGTAATAGGGGTTTTGAAGTGGTACTGTGTAGGCTTAGAATTAGAGATGCCGGACATTGGACATGTATAAAGACGGTCTATTCCGGATAAATTATGCGCCATTCCCAGTCTGTGCTAGGTGCCAGATTCCTGGGAATATTCACCACATACTGTTAGATTGCATAAGTTATGAGGAGGAGAGTACATGATGAAATTACAACTTCAAACAGTGTAGATCAATTTCCCTTTAAGTTTATCACTACTAGTTGGAGACATGAAATACAATGGCCTCCAAGCTTCGGATGCAGTACTAGTAGCCTATGTCCTAGAAACTTTCCAGGAAAATACAGCTCTTCTATTCATATTATAGACTTAGTGGTAAAAAGTTTCATAAGCTAGTTATCCATCACTGTAAAACCTCTGAATTAACAAGGCCCTACCCTTTGTTCTGTTTTGTGTAAGTCTCCTTGATCGGCGCAGTGGGGCAGTAGACTAACATTTTGGTAGAATGGGATACTGTGTTTGTAATAGGTTAACCTGAGGTTAACCTTAGGTTAACATTGTGAATCTCCTTTCCAGGGCTTGTTTGAATCCAGTACACTGGGCCCAATTTGCACACGCAAACGGCCCATTAAAACCAACTTAACAACAAAGGGTATCCGGTTGGGTCACCACCGTACGGTACAATTTCGTGCGACTGTTGGCAACCAAGTCTGTCACTTTGAGCTTGGACACCAAGCGTGCTAGGTGCTGGCATGGGCACGCTAGGAAACATGGCTACGAACAGTTTCCCAACCTTTCCTGTACCATGCCCGCAATAGAACCTTTTTTTTTCATCTACACGCGCTCTTTGTGCCGTGTACTGCACCATGGTAGATGTTTCGTTCATGATGCTCAACTGTTCAACAATAGATCTATCTCGTGATTTCTTTTCCAAGGTCATTCAATAGCCCTGAGGCGACTGAAGGTAAAATTCAGCTGTCCGATTTTTATTTGATATATGGTGTGAGATTATGCGCATCCTTGCCTCTACGCAACGCAGTCATCTTTATGGCAAAAGCAAAACTCCACAAATAGGAGGCAAAATATTCCCTATGTTGCATTTAAATACAAACACCCTGTATATATAACACGCCGCTTTAAAACCTCGGGGAGGGAGAGCATTAAAAAAATAAAGACGTCGTCATGGAGATGATTCATGATCCAGAGCATGCTCGAAACGACTTTGAGCGTCTATGATCGTTGTAATCGCCCTGGTTCAACGCTTTTCAACGCTCGACTTCTGCTCGGGCGAGAATGAAAAAAAAAGTAAGATTTTGGGTCGTAGAGTTCAACTTGGCCCGTGGGAAGGTGAGTCAGCAGAGTCTGACGTTATTGAATTATCGATCGGATCTGGCCGTGGACGGAGACCCGGAAACATGCTCGTACACGCCGAGGGACACGGATTCATCGAGGTCAGGCACATTTCATTACTTTTATTTCGATTTCGATCACGTGTTTATTTGCTGCGAATTCTTATGCAGGTGGTGGCAGGTGAACCTGGGACGAAGGTACAATATTGCCTCCGTCGGCATCCGTATCAACCGAGGTATATACTCTTGCTTCCTTATCGCATCGACTTTCGGATTATCGCTGCGCGTCGTCCATGGTGATGCAGTCGTGTGATGATCACCGTGGAAGATGGCCGTGAAAGGTCGTGTCGAAATCGAACGGAATCCCCAATGTCGGGATCGTGTGGAGTTGAGACAGACAAACGGCGGATTGTAGAGGGTTCTGCTCGGGCGCTGGCGCGTGGGCTCTCCTCTCTCGCTAGACTCGTACTGCGCTGCTAGGGCCCATCCTCATTGAAGTGGTTTTTTTTTCTAGTATCCTTTCATGCCGGTGCATCTACCCCGCATTCCCCTTTCCTATCGTTAGAGTCTCGAGTCCGTCTGTCATGTTTATGAGACTCTAGGCAGTCTTCCGTCCGCCTTGCTCGTCGGTCCGGGAAGGCCTTTGCACATCTCATTATGCCGTAAAAAAAAAAAGACTTCCCATCCGCCAGTCACGACCTGTCCTTTCTCGATTTCACGGTGAGAAATTTCTCGCAGGATGCGGATCTGTCACTCCCTTGCGTAATAAGAATTGAATGCCATCCCGGTTCCCTTTCGCATACAAAGGAGTAAATGTGCGTTGAATAACAGCGAGCCTTGTTTTCCTGGATAAAAATGGGGACCGTTCGTAGAGCAATCAGGACTCCTAAGGAGCGCTTAGGAGTGCTTATTAGAGTCCCCGGCTTCTTTTACGATTCTGGTCTCCCGTTCCTTCATTTTTTAAATCATTTGCTCAGGGGGAGAGCGTGCAAGAAAAATATTTAATGAGGGGAGTGGAGAAGGGAGGGGCGTGGGGATTCACGAGTTTCAGTCAAACACCAGTCAATTGCAGCACCTTCTACGGAATATTCACGAGGCTTCGAGGTGTGGACACGTGAGATGACACGTTTCTCGTTTTCCGACGCAGGGACGTACCAGGCGTTCACGGTGTTCGTGATCGATGTGCGGGAGGAGAAGCGGGCACTGTACCAGGAGTGCGCGAGGTTCTCGGGGACCTTTCTCTCTGACAAGGCGATGTTCAGATGTAACGGGGGGCTGGAGACGCCGTGGCAAATCGTCTACATCAGGGACGACCGGCAGACGCAGGAGCACCTGGGGCTCTGCGAGGTCCAGGTCTTCGCCACTCGAGGTCTGTTACCTTCCGGGGAAGGAATGGTGGTAACGTTTTATTTCTCGGAGCCGTTGCTGAAGCGAACGATGTGACAGGGTGGGCCGAAAAGAGAGAACTAGAAACCAGCGAAGAGCGATGCTTCAACTCCTTGGAATAGTCAGTGAAAAGAAATGCTCAATATCTCCGCTGTTTCGAACACTGGCTGTCACCGATCAATTGCCCTGTCCAAAAATCTCTGGGAGATAGCCTTTTACTTTCAGTTTCTTCGTTTGCGATACCACCGATTTAGGAAGATAGACTTTCGAAAAACTTTTGCCTAAAGTACTTTCCAAACTGCATGATCGCGAGTGTGCATATGTCGCATGCCAGTTGACCCCGCCGTGCAAGTTAAACTTGCATGGAAATTCATCGTGCAAGTTGAACTTGGACAGTCAAATCTTCGTGGGTTAACTTGAAAAGTTAACCGCTGTGTGCAGGTTGAACTTGCATGGGCAAACCCTTGTTCATGTTAACCCGGATTGCACATTTTCGTGTAAGTTCAGAGAAGCACTTCATCTCGGCCAGAATAATAATCGTATGCCTTCGGCCACCGGCACTTGCTTTATTTTCGAGCCAGCGTGTCAAACACCATGATATGAATTCGTTTGACCACCCTAATGAATAAATGGAGTAACTGCTTCATGATGTCAAATTGTGCACGATTAAAGAATATGCAACAACTTTATCGATGTCTGCATTCAAGACTTTCTTTTAACCACACCTTTGGTTGTGGTTCCAACAAATTATGCATTTGTTGGAACACGTCCATGACACGTCCTTGTGGCATCGAGAGTTGCACTGGCCATCATTGGCTACGCACTTGCACTAAATTTTTTAAATCCATCGTTGTGGCGTATTTCAAAGGGGCAGGAGGGGGGGGGGAATAGCTGCCCCCTGGTGCCCCTGTGATTGTGTCTAGCGTCTCCTCGGAGATGATAATTTTCCCCCCTGATATCGCTTGGGTGGGGTTTGCCCCCCCCCCCCTCACGCCCCCACGACAAGGCGTCAAGTCCGGAGAATAAGCCTGCCAGGGCATAGCCGGCGATCCGCGAATCATCCTTCGATCCGGAAACTTTTTTTTTCAGCCAGGCACGAACTTCTTTGCCAAAATGAGGTGGGGCGGGACGGACTTGACGCCGTGCGACTTATTCATGTAGGGCTTTATCAAGTCGAAAGTCTATTCGACCAAACCGAGGGATTCCCGAACTAAAGGAACGAATTGCCGCTGCGTTTGTAGACATTACTGTTGAAATGCGCGAGAAAACGCTGTTTGAATACCGCGAACGATTGGGAAAAGTACTTGAAATCGATGGGGGCCACGTTGAAGTTCATAGTTCGTAATTGGTGCATTTCATTTAGCTGAAATTTTGTCACCACAAATGCTAAACAGTTGTCTAAATGTTATGACAATTCTGTTTAGTTTGCTGCAATAAGAAGAACCTTATGCGCGATTAAAATCGTCCGCGATAAGTGGGACACCCTGAATATGCGTAAGGTCTCTCTCCTAGGTTCATTAGTCTTCCCACAAGATAGCACCACATACCGTAGGTCTCCCACATATGTTGTCGTATTGCCTCTGGACATACCTGACGTGATAGAGCCTGATATGTGACATTGAATTGGCCTTTTTGATTTGGCATTTTGGTTCGGGGAGCACTTACAGGAAACACTTGATGCTATGTCCCAGTTATTTTTAGACTCGTTCATTGACCAGTGGCGGTCGCGTTAGGCGACGATTGACCAAGACGGTGGAGATGATGTTGGAGAATTTTTATAGCTGACTTTGCCAGAGTCGGAGTATTCAAATGCGTTACTCTTCAATGGAATCCACCCGGATTATGTCACAAATAAATTATTGAGGAGCTATAGTTTTGCTCACCCTGATTTACTTGCAATGTTAAAATGGCAAAAAAATGACATTCAATTGAAATTTTATCATTCCTGTAGTAGAGCTTTAATTTTTTTTAAGGGGACGCTTAAAAAATAATTAACGCCCTACTTTCTTTTTATCTCATGCATACCGCTGTCGAAAGGTAGAATTCCAAAAAATAAACAAGTCCTTGTTGAACCCACAGACCGGGTGCCATGTGGAGACCCCGAGCAGCCGATCTACAGCAGCGTGAGCCGGACGGAGAACCAAACTCATTACTCCTGCCTCCCCGGTTTCACCTTGAAGGGGGAGATGGTGCGGAACTGCCTGGCTGACGGGCAGTGGTCATCCTCGCCTCCGACGTGTGTCGGTCTGTCAAATCGCTTATTGAAGGGGGGGAGGGGGGGAAGAAAAGCATCCGGGTATGGAATCTTTGATGCGATTCACCTTTTTTTTTTTGCAAATTAACCGTTGAAGCATTTCGATCGGTTGAAAAGGCCTCCATTGGTCATTGGGCATGCGGAACGGTATTGAATTCAAGGAGAAAGCGCGAGGGAAGACGTGGAGCGGAAAATGCGAGAAACGAAAAAAGATTCATATCAATCAGACCGTGTGACGCAGAGAGATTGAATTTCATCGCACTGGAATATTATTCGATACGGTTTCTACATTGCAGAGCAAGAGTGCGAGGCGCCGGTGCAGATCGCGAATGGGTTCTTGCTCGTCCCCGGCTTCAAAGGCAGATACGTGTTCGGGCTTCGGGCCATCTACGAGTGTAACCCTGGGTTTCTTCTCTGGGGAAATGCCACGATGACCTGCGGTCCTCTTGGGGTCTGGTCCGGGTCTGTGCCGCAGTGCAAGAGTACATATTTCATTCGCATCCCAATGTTTAAGTTTGATATAAGTGATGTCTCATTTTAAGTGTATGGTACTTTTCTTTTTTAATACCATACATCGTGTGTTGTTCATTATTGCAGAGGTGCAGTGTCCGGCTCCACCGTCATTCGCGAATGCTAGATTGATCCTTCCCGACGGATCCACCGAATGGGAGGCCGTTGCTGTTTATCGATGTGATCCTGGATTCATCCTGCCGGATGGTGCGTTTCTCACTTCGGCCTCTTCGGCCTAGTGCATTAATTTCTCGAGTACTCGACTGACCGACGCGTGATCGTGAAGGGAGGCGAAGACCCGATGCATCGACTCGGGGGAGTGGGAATCGGTCGTGGTGGACTGCATGAGCGGGACAAGGGAGGACCGAGGACGGAATCTGGAGACGGAGGTGCGGGGCACGAGCAACGACAACGAGGGTAAGGGTGCTATGGTATTATTTATGCAATTTACCCTTCGCTCTCTTGAACAGAGAGCCCGGACACGATCATCTTCCGAACTTCTGGCTGAAGCAGTTGACATCGCTACATGAACAACTCGCTAGAGATATGCAGAAAGTAGTGACGCACCCCTCGGAGATGCCGGATTGGCTCACCGCTGGAGTCACCTACCTACTGCCGAAAAACGCTGAAACCGAGCTACCTCGGAATTACAGGACAATCACCTGCCTGTCCACCGTCTACAAAGTGCTGTCTTCCATCCTAGCAGCACAAATTGAAAGACACATCTCTGACAGCAACATCATGTCGGAGGAGCAAAAGGGTTGTCGGAAAGGATCGTAAGGCTGCAAGGAACAGCTACTACTCAACCGTATGGTCACGGATGATGCCAGAAGCACGAAAAAGAACCTCTCGATGGCATGTATCGACTACCAGAAAGCATACGACTCAGTGCCCCATTCGTAGATCATCGAGTGCCTCATGATGTACATCATCCCTGTGGTGGTCCACTTCCTCCAACAGACCATGCCTCGCTGGAAAATGGTAATGTCCCTCAATGGACAAGACTCCACCCTGACAACCCACGAGATTTCCATCAAACGCGGGATCTTCCAGGGAGACACGCTGTCTCCTCTTCTCTTCTGCCCGGCACTCAACCCTCTCAGTACCGAATTGTCTCGGACTGAATGTGGCTATTACGTAGGAAAGGGGAATAATGCAGACCATCGCATGAACCAGCTTTTCTACATGGACGACCTGAAACTCTACGCCTCCAACGAGAAAGAGCTCGAAAGCCTGCTCAACGTCGTCAGCATCAGGGTAGGACGAGCGAGTGGATCAGTAGCTGGTTGGCAGGACGAGAGCAACGGGTGATGATGAATGGGGAAGCGGTGTCCCTCAAGGCGAGGTCCGCGGACCGCTTCTGTTTTTGGTCTGCATAAACGATTTGGATCTCGGCGTAGAGGGTAAGATGAATAATTTGCCGATGACACCAAGATAGGTTTTACCATAAGGGGGGAGGGGGATAGGGCTAGAGCCGAGCGAGATTTAAGTCTTTTGGACGAGTGGAGCAAGAAATGGCTCATGAGGCTTAATAAAATTGTAAGTGTAAATTTCTCCACGTCGGTCGAAACAACGGTAGGTCTCTCGACACGTTCGGCGATGTTAAATTGGATGTGGCAAACGGAGAGAGAGACGTAGGGGTTTCTATCGATGAGGACCTCAAGTTTTCCTCGCACGCGCAAGCGACGGTGGCCAAATGCAATAGGATTCTAAGTTACATTCGTCGGTCTGTTGGAAGTAGGGCATCTCGCGTTATTCTTCCGTTGTATGNTGTACTCGCTCGAACGAAGGTTAAGGAGGGGCGATCTCATCCAGGCTTTCAAGATAATTAAAGGAATAGATAATGTCGAGTGTGGTAGGTTTTTCTAGTTTGATAACAGCAAGAGAACGAGAGGTAACCGACTTAAGTTGCGCAAACCACAGGTGCGACTCAGTTCGAGACAAAAATTCTTTACTTGCAGAGTGGTGAACGCGTGGAATGCGTTAGATGATGAAGTAGTGGCTGCCCCGCGCTGTGACTATCTATAAGAAGAAACTAGATGCTTTCATGGACAGGCAAAATGGTGGAGGGCAATGGTGACGTTAGGTACTAGACAATAAGCAACTAGGATAGTGAAATAACAAAAAAAAAATATATATATATAGTTTCAAGAGGGTTAGGCCTACTCTAAAATTAAGGAACGCTCGACCTCGACACGTGATATCGAAATGGGCGAAATCGCCTCTTGATATCACTATCTTGAATCTCGAACCATCTTCTCGAAAGATATCTGCATGAAATTCGAACTCGACAATTGCGCGAAGCTCTCTGTCCACCGCGGAGTCCTCACCCCTATGGGAGCTACCACCACCATCAACGACAAGCTCACGGCCCCTGACACCTATAAATACCTCGGTGTGGAAGAGAACTCTTCCGTAGCTGCCAAGAGCACGAAGCAGAGACTGACGACTGAATACAAACGCAGACTCCGCCTCGTAATCAAGACCGTGCTGTCCGACAAAAATAAGATCTCTGCCCTCAACAGCCTTTCCATCCCCGTCCTCAACTACAGCTTCGGAGTTATCGATCTGTCACCTACGGAACTCAAGGCCATCGATCGAGCGACCAGAAAACTCCTGACCATACATCACACCCACCATCCGAAGGCTGCCGTTGAAAGACTCTACATTCCGAGATGCAAGGGAAGGAGGGAACTGATCGAACTCGAGTCCCTCTATAAGCCGACGACGTGCGAAGTCGCCAGATACATTGAAGGGAAACAGGGTCGACTCATTTCTATCCTGAGAGAGCGCGATGCCCTAAAGAAATCCCATTCCATCCAGGAATATGCCACCCGCTTCCGAAAGATAGTGCATCTCGATGATGACTGCGACACGACGGATATGAAGACGGCAGACCAAGTACAAAGAAAGGCTAGATGGAAGGAGAAACCGCTTCATGGCCAGCATCCCAAGATAATGGATAAACCGTCGATCGACGCGGACTTCAGCTGTAACTGGCTGAAGAAGGGACTGTTGAATGCCGAGACAGAGAGCAACATCCTAGCCATTCAGGACCAGTGCATCAGAATTCGTAACTACGAGAAGCACTTCCTGAAGCTGGATGTGGAAGACCGCTGCAGATTCGACCAGAAAACTCCTGACCATGCATCACACCCACCATCCGAAGCCTGCCGTTGAAAGACTCTACCTTCCGAGATGCAAGGGAGGGAGGGAACTGATCGATCTCGAGACCCTCTTTATGCGGACGACGTGCTAAGTCGTCAGATACATCGAAAGGAAGCAGGGACGACTCATTTCCATTCTGAGAGAGCGCGATGCCCTAAAGAAATCCCATTCCATCCAGGGAGATGCCATCCGCTTCCGAAACGCATTCCATCTCGATGACGACTGCGACACGACGGATGTGAAGACGGCAGACCAAATACGAAGAGAGGCTCGATGGAAGGAGAAACCGCTTTACGGCCAGCATCCCAAGATCATGGATAAACCATCGATCGACTCGGACTTCAGCTATAACTGGCTGAAGAAGGGACTGTTGAATGCCGAGACGGAGAGCAACATCCTAGCCATTCAGGACCAGTGCATCAGAACTCGTAACTACGAGAAGCACACCCTGAAGCTGGATGTGGAAGACCGCTGCAGATGCTGTCATGGACCACCCGAAATGGTTCACCACCTCCTTAGTGCCTGCCCCGAACTAGCCCAGAGGGAGTATTTGTATTAATACAAGCACGACCAGGTTTGCAAATATGTGCACTGGTGTGGCTGCAGCAAGCCGGCCTAGATGTCCCAGGATGTCATATGGCCTTCTGAAGCCAATGGGAGGTGAGGGTGGGGGTGAAGTTGAGGTTGGGGTTGGGGGTTGAAGAAAGGTTAAACCATTTAAAATTGGTTTTCACCTTACTATATTTAATTGTTTTTGATCGTTCTAAATTGCAGATAAATAAGCATTCAATAAAATATTCCCACGGACTTTTATGGAACTCTGGCAAAACCATAAATGAATCGTTCATTAAACACGTTCGGGTGGCACTTGGGTAGTGACACTTATTTTCCTCCGATTTGCAGCAGGTTTACCTGCCACTAGTCTAAACAATTCAAGCGGATCAGGAGTTGATGGGAAGATAACCGGCGGGATATCCAGGGAATCAATGATTTTGGCCATCTCTGCTGCTGCGATTTCAGTCGTGGCTCTGACAGTGGGCTCTATTTCCTACTATCGTTTCAGAAAGGAGAAAGTGAGTCACGCACCATGATTCGACAACCGCCTCTTTCTTCAATCGCATCCAATTCCTTTTCGTGAACTTTGCAGGCCAGAAACATCGCATTATCCAAAGAAGAAACAGAGCGATTCTTGAAAGGACAACCCGAGTGCCTGAATCCAACGATTGGGCTCAGCGAACAAGTACATCTACTGCCATTCGACGAGCACTGGGACTTCCCTCCTGAGAAACTGAAACTTGGTAAGGACCCAGGTGTCCGGAAAGAACATCGCAAGGAAAAAACATCGCGGATAAAACATCACACGTCTATAACATCGCATGTCGATAGCGTTGGTTATTTCCAGCCCTCTAGGCTGGAAAGCCTGCGAGCAAAAAGTGAAGCCTTACTTCAGTCTGTTCTTTGATTTTTGGAAGCAGACGTGATTTAAAGAACGCTTTAAGTCAAGTGGGCAAGTGAATTTTAATTTAAGGTAAGTAATTTAAATTAGTTTAGGGTACCGTTACCGTTATCTGTAAACAAGGTGTAAACTTAGATCTACTTATGGCTGGAGCCTCTCCGTGGTTGCAATAGTGCTCGTTGAAAACTTAACCCAATACCGCGCCACAATACCGTATTTATTAACCTTCCTATTCTGCTCGGGTCTATACGACCCGAAACACTCATTCAACTTGGCGTAACTCCCACATATTTTATCGAAAAAATTTGAAAATTTTTTACTTTTCCTAACTTTACGAATATATTTACGACCTCAAATCCAAATTCATTCCCACGAAGCATTACTGAAATATTTGTGTTACCCCCGTCTGTTATGTTCGGGTCTATATGACCCGATTGCTTTAATAGTGTATTTTTCATGCACGTCTGCAGCATCGAGTTGCATCTCGTTCTAAAAATAGCTCC